CTACTCTATACCATCTCCTAACGACTATACCTGGATGAGAATTCGTTCTCTCTAAGCGAAGATTCTTCTCAAAAGTGCTCGAACTCATTGTATTCGCCGTGCAAGCGAGAAATATTATCACCAATATTTATACTTTTTGTTGCGTGATTCCGGATACATGTTTTGTGTATGGGTACGAGAGGATGTTAAAGGCTGCCTACCTTCGCATGCGCTTGGTTTGATTCGGATAGCATAATCGACCGAAAGTTTAACGGCTTACAGTGGTCACCAAAACGTATGCATTTTAACCGAAACTCTCCCCAGACCGCTTCCAATTGTCATTGAATTTGTTTAGTATATTTACCAAGAAATTTCTTGAATCTGTATGGTGTATTAGTGTGAGGTCTTAAATCAAAGCTCGTCTTCACCGGCAAAAAATAAAATCACTAAGGAGTAGGCTCTTTTCCATTGCGCCTAAACTACTAAAATGATTAGAAAAGTTAGCCATACCTATAGGGCTTGCGGCTACCTAACATTCAAAGTACTTTTTGTTTGCAGTCTCTGGTCCCTTAATCATACTTTTTCCAGGAGACTAACGTACGCTTTGATTCCAATAGTTGAGCCGGGTTGGGGTAGCTGGTGTCTTCTGGCTCGCATGAAAATTTTAAATGGTATGTAAGCAAGGAAGAAGAGATAGATACAACGTATCCACAGTGTTTAAATATGGCAATAACAGCAAAATGATTTATTGGATCCATATCATTTCGAGAGAGCTCGTCAGTTGCCGCCTCCCATTACTTAACGTGAATTGTTACCTCAGACGTTTTTTTCCCTGTTATTTTTGCTGACCATAGCGTTTGAACTTCTCATGTTATTGATTAGCCACTTGGACACTTCTTATGACCTTGTGTTTATATCGATTTTTCTGTATGAATTCATTGTGTATCTTCTCTTATGTGATTCACGTTAAGTAATGAGAGGCGGCAACTGACGAGCTCTCTCTAAATGATATGGATCCAATAAATCATTTTGCTGTTATTGCCATATTTAAATTTACACCAGAGAAACGTTGCTTTAAGTATCCACAGTGCTTTATTGCCTTGCAAACGTCATTTGTTCACTAAACTAAACTAAACTAAACTAAATTTAATTACCCAAAAAATCTTGACACTTTTGGATGTTGACCGAACAATCGCCTTCCGTTTTCATCAGTAGAGAGGGTTTACCACCCACATGGGATTCAGAGTTTTGTTAGTCTACGCTTTCTAAGCGGAATTTGTAGGACCTGGAAAAATTAGAACTGACAATTATTTTCTGATCCTGACTTTCTAAAGGGACTTTTGTTTCATATTATGTGCTACATACCCACTTATGACGGGGGGGAGTGATAACCATGCTCTAATTGATAGCTCCTGTTTTCTTCGATCGAACTTTCTGTTCGACGGGTAAGAGAGGGCTGAAAAAGGCCATCGGACCAACCAGTGCTGCGCAGACCAAAGCCGAACTTGTTGAAAGCAGCGTACAATTTATCACAAGTATGCAAAGTCGAGGCGAAGACAATATTTCTGCGTGTTGTGCAACTCACAAGACTTGAGAGTAGCCGAATATGCCTATCACCTCGTCATGTTATGTTAATCGCCTTAAAGATTTGTATGTACTGGACATTAGTCCGGTACTTGTACCTGTTACGGCTGCGATCATGACTAATATAACCGGCCTCGAGGATGGTGCGACGATCTGTGGCAGCAGGCCTGGGCAGTTGAATCCATTCTCTTCACAAAACTGGAGGTGATTTGACCCCATCTTCGCCGTCCCCAATTCAGTCACGGTGTCTGAACTCGTGAGTTGGACGACGAAGAACTGTCTTAGCCACCTCAGTCGTCTCTCTTGGGTGGTTTGGGATATCCTTACGATGTTGTCGCAGCGAGTGCGGACTGTTTTCTTTAAGACTAAACTGGTGTACTTTACTCGAAGCATTCACAGCCATAGAGAAGGACAGACCGAACAGATGCACGGTACATGCGAACCTTCGTGGCAATAGAAATATCACGTCGGATTCATAGGTTCTTTCTAATGGTTTAAAACAACCGGCGTGCTGCGTCGATTTGTGAGATAATGTCATCCTTAATCCGTCCATCCGGAAGCAACCTCTCTACGAAGTACTTAAAACTGTGTACTTCTTCAAGATGACAGTCACTTATC